GAAACCTTGCAAATAGCCCCAGCCTTTCATTCCCCTTCTTATTCTCAGATCACTGGAGAACCCTTGATCCGCCGATCAGATGATAATGAGAAGGCCTTGAAAATACGCCTGGAAGCCTACCACTCCCAGACCACCCCACTTGTGGAGTACTACAGGAAGCGGGGGATCCACTCTGCCATCAATGCATCCCAGACCCCTGATGTCGTATTTGCAAGCATCCTAGCAGCTTTCTCCAAAGCCACATGTAAAGACTTGGTTATGTTTATCTAATGTTGGTTACAGAAAGGAATTTCTTCTTCCTATCCCTGTTAAGGGCGTGGGTAGGAATGGCAGGGCAGGCAAAGGGAAGTGTCCTTCCTCAGGCTAGAAGAATCTCTCTTGATTTACTGATTAAAAAGCACTTGCTTGATGTACCTGGTGTGTAGGCAACTCTCATCTCATCTGTGTGTCTGTGTGTGTTATCAGTATGTGGTCACTCCTACTTTCTATGTTTGGGTCTCAGTTGCTTTACCAACAATTTATTTCTTTAGTCATACTCCTGTGGGTTGTTTTTTTTTTTTTGCAGTGGTGAGGTACTGGGGATTGAATTCAGGGTCACTTGACCGCTGAGCCACATTTCCAGCCCTATTTTATATTTTATTTAGAGACAGGGTTTTATTGAGTTGCTTAGCACCTTGCTTTTGCTGAGGCTGGCTTTGAACTCACAGTCCTCCTGCCTCAGTCTCCCGAGCTGCTGGGATGACAAGCTTTTTTAGCCATACTCTTGATTTTATTTTTTAACCAAAATAAACCATACCAGGTATCTGTCAGGTACCCAGTTCCAAAGCCTCATAGTATTTTTCCCAGCTGATAAGAAATCCAAGGTCACATGAAGTCAGACAGTTTCTGATGTAGAGAGTTAGCAGGGAATTCCACTTTTCAGTCTACAATGAAAAGCTACAAGAGTCAGCAGCTGGATAGGGATTATTAATTTCCCCCCAAATTGGGAAAATAAAAGGCACTTATATTGCAAATTCCAGAATTTACTGGGAGAAGTTATCACTATACAGAGAGCCAAGCCAGGTTGAAATATTTTTGTGATCTGTATCATGGTGCTGCTATAAGGTATGGATCCTTTGGGACTTGGGTTTGAAAACTGAATTGTTTCAAAGAATTAAACCAGGTAAAAGGTCCTTTGGAATTCAGATTGTCTTCTGAACATCCAGACTGGACAACTGAGAGCAGCCAAATCTACTTCCCCAAAGAGAGACCAGGATAGGTTTTTTTGCTTTGTTTTTAATGTTTGCCTTTGTTTCCAAGTATTAACAAAATAGTGATTTGGGGGGTGATCTGTTCTTTTATTCATTTTGGTCAGAATTTATTCAAACCCAGTCCCTCTCTAGGATATAAAACCCAAATCAAATGTGTCCTTTATAAACCCAAACCTCTCCCTCCCATCCAGTCTTTTTCACCCTTTATTTCATGATGGTAATAGCTACGGAACCCAAGAAAAAAAAATCACCCCAAAATAAGATCACCTATGACAGTCACAAAGTTTTTGTTTATAACATTGGCTTCCCTGCTATTAAGCATTTCCTAGGGTCCATGCTGTGCCTTTTGGTCTCTGGTTTGATTGTGGCAAACAGATGAATTAATGGGTTCCTGTGAAGAGACCACAAAACCTGCAGCCTCTGGAAAAACCATTAGAAAGTCAGTGGTACATTCAGTAAGTAATTCTGCCTGCCTCAGCATAATCTGCTGCTGACTCGTTGCAGTGGACTATAAAGTGCCCAGTCCCTATCTGACCTGAGCTGTCCTACTGTCTGTGAGACTTCTGGAGGGCTTGATCTCTGCCCACGTGGAAACTGGGCATGGATGTGTGGCCACCTTGTTTTCCTCTTCGCCTAGCCAAGTGAGTGAGTGCTGCCTCTGCCCTACCTTTGCTCCCCTGCTTCTAATCTAACTCTGCCCTCTTAATGGAAACCCAGTCTGGTTTTGGGTGTTTCTGGGAAGCACATGGCTTCTGGGAATGGACAAGAAAGAAGAATGAAACTAAAACTATCAGCTATGCCTGCCAAGAGTCTGACATCCTTCTCTGAATGAGGGTGAACTCATGAATCTTGGAATTGACTCATGTTTGACCAAGGATAGTTTCAGGCATTTGGTCTCAGAGTCGGGGTTCTTGAATGTTTGCTAACTGAATGTGTGTGTTCCTTTCTTAAATATTTGACATCTGTCCGCAACATTTACATGTGCACACATGCACACACGTGTGCAAGTGACATTTAAATTGCAGGTGAAAACTAAATGATCACAGGAGATAATATACCTTTCTGAGGTGGTTATGATTATATTTTCGCTTCATTTAATTAAAAAATCTTAACCTCAGCAGGCATGAGAGCTTTCATGGCAGAAAAATGTCCAGTGTTTAATGCATTTGATTGCTGGGGCGTGCATGCCAACCTTTTCTGACATTTACTTGGTTTTTAAAAATCCATTTTGTTCTCTCTTGTTTCCTTTCTATTTCAGCCTAGTAAAGAAGGCCAGGCGAGACTGCACCACTGCTCATCACCCCGCGGCATGATCCCTGCTCTTTGGTGCTGGGCAGAGGGGAAGGGTGTCAGGGGAAGCATGGAGAGGGAAAGACTATTTGGAAGACCAGCAGTGTTGTAGTGAGTGGGGGTTTTTTTACATGTAGGTGGGAGTTTTAAAAATATAAACAATTAATTTAAAAAAAAAATACTGTGATTGAGGGTGTGGATACAAATAGGGTGGTACAGTATTATTTCTAAGCAATCGAGTTTTCATTTACTCTGAACTGGTGACAATATATTTTAAAGCCAGTGTTCTTAGACCTCAGCTTTTATATCAGAACCTCATGGGGTGCCAGGCCAAGAATGCAGGAAATCAAACTGTGGTCCTGTGTGTTCTGTAGCTTAGAAGAGAGAGTGTTTGATTGTTAACACTGGTGCCCCACACCATAAGATCAAAAAATCATCTCTATAGGCTAGGGATGTACCTCAGCAATAGAGCACTTGCCTAGCATATGCAAGGACCTGGTTCAATCCCCAGCATCAATTTTAAAAAAAAGATCATCTCCACACCTAAAAGATATAAGGGGTGTATCGTTGGAGGTGGGGCTCCACAAATCAAATTTTCTAGTGTTGGGGAAAAAAGGGGAGGTGGGTCTCTTTCCCTTCCCCTGATTCACCACTCTCATGGCTAAGCTCACGGTCTCAGCAATCACCCAGCACATGCCACAATCTTATGCCTTCTTTCATCTGTGGTGTGTGAAAGGACCCTTTTTAATAAATGAGCAAGGGCTGGGGATGTAGCTCAGTCGTATAATGCTTGCCTGGCTTGCACAAGGCCCAGAGTTTAGTCCCCAGCACCATGAAAAATAAGTAAATAAAAATAATAAAATGAACAAGTGTCCTAAGCTATATCATCCAAAGATTACCCTTTCCATCCTCATATCCTGTGAGTGGGACACTCGACAGCACTGTGATGTATTGTCTTCAATGAGGTGCCTTTCTTAATTGACCAAATGCTGCCTTGTTTGACCCTAAGTCAATAAAGTATGTTAAAAATTTGTATCCCCTGTTGTGGCTTTTTTCCCCCCTCCCCTAAGGGAACCTGGGCTAGAAAAATGATGTTGAATTCTGTACCTGGCCTAGAAACTTTCTCATGGTCACTAGCAGCCTTGTAGCAGGAATGTCTAAGTATGTGGTCCTAAGATGCACCTGCAGACCCTCTTAACTATCAACTCTTAGGCCTTTTCTTGATCCCTGAGACTAGGCAGCTTGATCTAGTAGAGATATCACTATGCTTGAAGTTCAGGAAACCAAGAACAGATCCCAATGTTGGTTTCCTCTCTTTTCCTGCTTCCTCATCTGAAAAAGGCCAGTAATGCATTTTCTGAGGCACTGGTACTAAATGAAGTTTATAAGGAGAAGCTTTGGCTGGGTGCCTGACATATAACAGACGTTGGAAAAATTGTTAGTTGGATCAGAACATACACAGAAAAATACCTGCTTCCTGCCAGGCTGTGTAATTATTGAATGGACAGCTGTCCACAGCCTAGAAAGCCGCTGCTTCTAATCCTAAGCCAGTTCTTTGTCTACCTTTAAGGCTGCTGCTTTTAACACCCTCAGTTGCTTCTTTGTGTGTCCTACTTTAAATCCATTTACTCCTCAACAAAAGTGAGCTTAACTGGTTTGTCCAAACTGAAGTTCTCATGCTTTTGGAAGGCTGCCTTCATCAGTGAAGTTTCCGAGAAATTACTGCTGTTCCCAGAACCAGAGGGAGCTGGTCTAGAAGCACCGCCATTCTTCAGGCATCTTGTTACTGAGAAGCAGAGTCCTCACCAGCATACTAAATCCTACTTCCTGAGCAGCCCCTCCCTTGTCTGCTCCTCCACTTCCTCATCTCAGCAGTCATTTTCAGGTGTCAGAATGACTGGTTTGCTCTGATCGTTTCATTCCCCAAGCTATTTAAACACCCCGTGAAAACCTTTCTTTGGGCATCATGTATCCAATTGGAAGGGAATGTTTGTCAAAGCAGCCTGCAAAGCAGCGTAGATTGGTTGAAAAGAATAAGATGAAGATGGCTGAGCAAGCTGTTCTTCATTTACTCCTTTGGGCCTTGGTGTCCTTGTTGCAAATCAAGATTTAATGATATGAGAATTGCCACCACTCCTGGAGGACTGACGTCACGCCAGGTACTCTCCATACTTGACTGCACATCACTCTCCCAAAATACCCTGTGCAGTTGGAACTGTTCTATTTTACAGGTGAGGAAGGCAAGGAGTCAAGTGATGTTCCTTAAGTCACATCAAAGAGGCAGAGTTAGGGCTGGGGTTGTGGCTCAGTGGTAGAGCGCTTGCCTAGTATGCACCGAAGCCCTGGGTTCCATCCTCAGCACCACATAAAAATAAATAAATAGGGGGCTGGGGATATAGCTCAGTTGGTAGAGTGCTTGCCTCGTATGCACAAGGCCCCGGGTTCAATCCCCAGCACCACCAAAAAAAATTAAATAAAAATAAATAAATAAATAAACAAAATGAAGGTATTTTGTCTAACCAAAAAAATAAATAAGAGGGCCGGTTTTAACAGCAGCTCCTCCACCATGAGGCCTTGGGTAACTTATCTCCCCTCATCAGTGGAATGGGAATGATCCTTACACTCTGGTGTGTTAACAACTGGTCACCAAGATGCTCATATGGGTCAGAACAGCCGATACACAGCAGGTACTCAGTAAATGCTAATGGAGTTCAGAGAGAAAATGTGGATATTGGTGAGAGCTGTTGTCTTCCTGACCAGGAGAACCAGGCTAAGGATTCTTAACCCTAGGATATCCTAGAAATCATGAACCTTCAAAAATATATGCAAAATTTTTCTTTTTATATTTTCATAATTAATAACATTGGATGCTTACTGTGTAGGAGGTTCTGCATTTATTATTCTCAGTAAACCCATGGAGGTAAGTACTGTTGTAATCTGTGTGTTATGTGTGTGCATTTTGAGTCATACATGTGTGGCTCCACATCCCAGCCTCATACCATTTTGCTGGGTGATTTGACACTTTCCAGCAGAGAGGGGAAAGATGCTCAGAGGCACTTATGTTACAAAAAAGGCCACAAGTCGTGGATCAAATGAAAGGAGAAATTTACCCAGTTATGCTCTGTCACAGTGAAGGATCTGAAGGGGGAACACTGTCACAGGTAAGGTCATCTTTGATTTTATTATCTCCATGACTTCCTTACCATTAGAAGGAAGCTCTAGGAACTACCTTATTCCAGGATGGATTTGCAAAGCTTCTGGAACTACCTTATTCCCAGGATGGCCGGGGGGCAGGAGAGAAGCCAGTTTCCCCCACCTCTGGTTCTAGAAAGGGTGGCAGCAGGAGGGGGTGTGTATGGACTGTACTTCACAGTCATCCCTCACAGACTGCAGCTCTGTGTAGCTGTGGTCTTGAATTATTCATAACTCCAGAGGGAGCACCTTGCTTCTGAGGTCTCCAGGATGTGGCAGCTCTGTTTAGAGTTGTCTGGGGCAGTGCGATGATGAACTTCTCTCACAGATGTCCCTTTTCAGATGCTCAGACCTGGTTGAGTTGCCCCAGCTAAGTAGGTGGGAGTGGAAAGAAAAGGTATAGTAAACAAAACCAGACTTTGATCTCGTGCAGATGACCCTCAGGCCCATAGGCCAAACATACCTGCACTTTTAGGGGTAAAGTTGCTGTGGTTCAAATCATCCCCTTGTACAGAGGCCCTTAAAGAAAGACTTTTAGGACAGATTCTTCTGGGCTTGGATCTAGGAGACAGGTACGCTGTCGATTTAGGTGGTCTTCATTCTTCTAGGTAAAAGGTGCTTCATTTTCTTGTGTTTTCCTTTTAGCCCTGGCTATGAGGAGACTCAAAATTAAGTCTTATGCTCAACCGCTGTCCTTTCCTCTGCCAGGTTTCTTAATAAAATTTCTATCCCACCTCAATCTCGGTTGTTTTATGTTTAGCATTTTGGTGTTGAATGTTTGTTTTGTAAACTGCCTATAGTGTCTGTTTTGGACCTTGAGAGCTTGTTTGGAGGTTCTAGCAGGGAAGCGCAGCTACTTGTATACCCTTGACCAAAGAACGTTTCTCTATTAGGGAAGGTCATCCTCTTTGACCGAGCATGCAGCTTCAGGAGGGACACACATGGAGCAGTGAGGGAGGAAGGGGACACCCTCCTAGCCAGCCAGATTAATCATATCAACCCGGCAATCAGTGGGGTGATAGATGTCCCAGCCAGATAGCCCTCACATCCTAGAGTCTGTTTTGGAAGAGAAGCAGGGTGTACAGGCAAAGTTAATGAGGCGGAGTCTATAGGTCAGGGGTCCTGTGCAGAGGGAGGACACAGGCCAGCGGAGTCCACTGTATTAGGGCTGTTCTAACCTAGTAACCCACCCCATAGAAGTCTTGGGAAATTCACATCTTGTTGGAAATAGTACTTTTCAAACAAAGTACAGGAACAATAGAAGGGAAATTTTTCAGCTCATGAATAATGTCAAGATCTCAGAACAGCAAAAGACAAGGATACATACACAGAATTGATAGCCCAATCAGGTGACATTTTTTCTCCTTCCCCACAGATACATCATAGCCTGAGCTTTGACAATGCATCAGGCCATCCTTTGCTGTGGGACTGAAAAGGGGGGAATACTTTAATTTTGTGGTCATCTCTTGTGTTTTCAGTCATGTCCCCACTGGTGTGAGCATTGGGTTCTGGGAGTGACAGAGATCATATGTGGTCAGATCTGGGCACTGACTAGTTCACTATGTGCCCTGGGAGAGATGTTTAACCTCTATGCCTCAACAAACTCATTGTAAAATGAAGATCATAGCACCCCTGTAGAAGAAAGGGTGGCAGAGTTTATATGAATTGAAAAATAGCAGCTGCCTAATATCAGAATGGGTGTCTTTACCTGTTCCTATTCTCTAGTGTCTCCTTCATCCCCTTTGGAAAATGGTACCAAACTAGAACAGGTTATTTTTCATTTTTCACTGATACATTTCCTGGGCTGCCAGCTGTGCCCCTGGATGGAGATAGGAATCAGTTCTCTTCCCCAGAGATGGTGATTCTCCTCCAGGTTGGCAGGAGGAATGTGGTCCTGGCATGGCAGCCAGATAGTGATAGTCATTTTTTTGTTTGTTTGTCTTTGGTGGTGCTGGGAATTGAACTCATGGCCTTGTGTATGTGAGGAAAGCACTCTACCAACTGAGCTATATTGCCAGCTCAGATAGTGTTAGTCACTGAAAGTAAGACAGTCTGTAGTTGAAGATGAGAACTGGAGCCACTGCTGAAACCATACCTGGGGCTGGCAGGACCCGCTCAGATCCCACAGACCTGCTGCAGTGGCTGCCTGCAGGAACTGTCATCCTTGAGGCCTGAATGGAAGGGAACAGACATGCATGATAAGACAGATCTGTATGCTTCAAAGGCACATGACACCAGGGAGGTGCTGGAGTGGGTAGAAGTCTAGTGAGAATTTGTTGGCTTCTGTTTTGAGAACCTTTGAAAACTGCCCTGAAATAAGGGAATGAGAGCAGCATCTTCCTGCTGGAGAGCAGGGCAGGATGAGCTGGCATTTATCAGGTGCTTTTGAACAGAGGCTGCTCAGCGCTCTGGAAGCCCTCTCCAGCTGGCAGCTCCAGCTCAGCCATTCCAGTTTGTCTGTGTATCCTAAGGAAATGACTGTGCAGAAAGCATTTTTTTATAGCAGGATAAGAATTGGAAACAACCTAAATTTCCAGCAACAGGGGAGATTGGCTGTGATTCATTCATAGTATGTGATCCTAAAATAATGATTTCAAGACAGAAAAAATGTCATGATAAACTATTGGGTAGATAAACAGATTCTAAAACAATACAAAATGGGTTTATTTTTTAAAGTAAACTTTTTATTTTTAAATAATTCAAAGTTTATAGAAAAGTTTCAAAGATAATATATAAAGTTTCTGCCTATACTTAACCTAGTTTCCCCTATTATTAACATCTTACAAAACTATAGTACATTTATCACAACTAAGAAATTAACACTTGCACATTATTAGAGTCTTACTATATTTGATTTTTCACCAGTTTTTCCACTAATGTCCTTTTGTTGTTGTTTGTTCAGAGATCTAACGTGTTATGCCACATTGCATTTAGTATTTTGAGTTCTTAAAAGTTAACTTAGAAAAACATCTGGAAGGTATAAATGAAAATATTAACTGAAATCATAGCTTAGTGATAGAACTAAGATGTTTATTTTTAAAATGTTACTATGTCTTCTAATTTTTCGGTTTATTGGGTCACATAGTTACGTAACATTAAAAAATGAACGTCTTTAGGGTGAGTGGGGGCCCTCTGATTACTCCTAGTCGGAATATACTATATTGTGGTTATTTATGCCTTCTCTTTAGACTGAGCTCAAGAAGAAGGACCTAGTCTGCTTCGTTCCCCTTTCTCATCACAGCACCAGGCAAGGCACCAGAGGAAGCACTGATAATGTCTGGTTGAATTAATGGGTGAAGTCAGGCAAGTTTATTGCTATCAGCTCTCAGAAGTTAACTAGTATAACACTCTTTCAGCTTAAGGAAACTCCGGGTTTATGTTTCCTGTTCAGTGTCGCCAGCAGAAGGACAGAACCTGTTTTTGAAGTTTGTAGTCTCAGGGTTAACTTGCATGCTTGTCACTGAATGAATCACTATAGCCAGATGCACAGAATGTGCCAACTGACCCGGTTTAGGTGAGCTGACCAGGCCTTTAGATTGCTTCCCAAAGAAAAGTTAGCATTCTACTATCCAAGGGCAGAGGGATAGATGCTGAGCAGGTGAAACAACATCAGAGCTAGCTCCCCAAAGTAGGCATCTTATCTCAATTTCTTTTCACCAGACTATAAGCTCCCTGATGAGAATATGACCATATCAGTGCTGTTCATAAAGTCCCTAGCACCCGGCATAGTGCTTGACATGTAACAGGGCCTAATTATAAGTGAATAAATTCATCTCTTGATAAAATAAAAGTATTTAGATGGTGCTTGAATTAAGATACTTTGAGTTACAAATAACAAAAAAAAAAAAAAAACCTCACTTACCAATAAAGTACATTTGTTGGCTTATGTAACTGAAGGATCTAGTGGAGCCTGCCAATGAGTCAGGCATGGTTCGATCAGAACTTCCATTTCTCTCCTAGTCTCCTAATTGTCTCCTCAGTATCTTTCTCAAGCTGGCTTCTGACATGGTAGCAAAATGGCTGCATCAATTGCAGACATCACATCTGCACTTCATACATCCAGACAAGAGAGAAAATGGAGAGAATATATTCCAGAATTCCCAGCAAAAGTCATGAGATTCACTGTGGACTGAATAAGGAAGGTTACATGTCCACATCTGAAACAGCCATTAGAGGTAGTGTTTATTGGCTTAACTTAGGTCATATGGTTTATCCTTGAACTGGGGGACAGGGGAGGTGGGGAATAGCATCAACTTCCCTGAAACTATGAATATCTGTTGGGAATTAAGAATTTGAGGAAGGGGAAGCAATTTGGGTCTTGAGAAGGTGACTAAAAGGAATACAGCACAGTTGAATATGCTGAATTGTGCAGCATAGACGAGGACTATAGGAATCAAGAGCAAGAGTTGAACCAGTCAGAGAAAGGAAGCTTCATGGAGGAGGATGAGAGACTACATCAAACCTGGAGGAGGAAAAAGATATGGCCAGTGGGAGAAAGATAGATCCCTCAAAGAGTTTTTGAGCATTTCCCAGACATCATGCTGGACAACCTGTACATTATCCCAATTAATGCATACAGTCTCCATAAGTTTGGTGTCATTTCCATTTCACAGATGAGAAACTGAAACCCAGAGCTCCTGCAATAAATGTTGAAGTTGAGATTTGGACCCAGCTTATCTGGTTCTAAAGCTTGCACCGGGAACCATTGTCACCAAGAAGTTTGTGCGCTAATAAAGTGAATTCCCTGATTTCAGAAATCATCTTAGAGGTGAAGAGTAAATGATTCATTCTCCTGCCACTTATGAGAAGGATCACTGTTATGCCTTCTTCAAGATAAATGAAGGCATAACAGTTAATTTGCAAGACCTGTAAATTTCGGTGCCCAACTTATCACCCTGGCTTCACTCTTCAGGGCCTACACTTCTAATTACCAATCCTTGTGGGCTGTTATTGTCGTCATAATAATTATGCAGCACTAACCAGTTTTGGTTGAGAACATGCTCCAAGCTGGATTCTGCTCTGTGCACTTCAGATACAAGTTTAATCAGATTCTAATCAGGCTGATGAGAAGGACTCTGTCCCAGAGCCCATAGTCCTTTAAATACTGTTCCAAGTCTTGTGTCTGAGCTGCCTATGGGGAAGTGGCCTGGCTGCTTCCCCAAATCACTGACAGCACAACCTTTGGCAGGGGCAGCCAAAGCCCCGTGCTGCTGTTGGCTGAGAGCCTGGCCAGAGGGACTGAGCCAGTATGGATTGAGCAGCTGCAGGGCCTGGGCCTCTGGGGCCTCCAGACACCCTGGCTTAATGCCTGGACACTGTTCAAGGCTATTGCAGCCAGAGCTGGGGACTAAGCATCAGGACCCCTGGGTTCCAAACTCAGCTTGTTGGCCAATATTACTGTAGAAGCTTGGAAAGATCCCTTTCCTTGCCTGGGCCTCAGTTTCCTAGAAAGTAAATGAATAAGATCACCCCTTTTAGAAGTGACCTTTCTCCTAAATATGACCTCTGACAGGCTGATATTTGGGGTACCACAAATTAATTGTCCCTGCCTAAAAACCTGGATCCCAGGTTATTTAGAATCTTTCCTGCTGGGCACTGGGGTCACAGAGGGAAGCTAAGCTTATCCCTACCTTTAAGTGGCTCTCAGTTGGTTGGGGGCCAGGGGAACTGATGGGAAAGCCAGCAATCACCCCAGTGTGGTAAGTACCTTGCTGCACAGAGAGAAGGGTGACAGGGGCTATGGGGCTCCAAGAGGGAGCAACCGGCTGCCTGCAGCAGCCTGGAGAGTTTCCCAGCAGGAAAAACATGGAGCCAAATTATATCTTGCATTTTCCAGGTAGAGAAGGAGTATATCCTGTTGAGGGAACAACCTGTGCAAAGGCCTAGGGGCAGAAGGGACTGTCTCCTGAGGAAAGGATGAACACCACGTGGCACAGTTGGGAGAGGAGAGTGTGTAGTATGTATGAAGATCGACAGGGACAGGGACAGCAGCAGGGGCTGACTTGAGCACCAAGTTCCTGAGCCCCAACCTGAGGCTCTAAGACTGGAAAAAGAGCGCACAGGCCTCAGGAGTCCCAACTTGGCCCACATCACTTGCTCCCTTCCCTGGAGGCCAAAAGCTGTATTAAGCCTTCCTGTTCAGGGCACTGTGCCCTCCAATCTCAGATAAAGCTCTTCACAGAGCAACCCATTCATCCCAAACTCCTCACATTCAAGGCCATACTTTCTGTCTTCTGGGTTTCTCCAGCAGTTTAGCTAGGCAGCTAAGATACAGAGAACCCAACAGTGGAACAGAAATTGTTATGGAGCTCCAATGGGCAAGGTCCCATGTTGGCCTCTACAGAGCAGGCCAGAAATGACTGGGAGCCCACAATCTGGCAGGGAATATAAATGCTAAACATGTGATCACGCCAATAATTATTTATCATTATTTGGTTTCTAGAAAAATTAAGACTTTAGCCAAGCATGGTGGTGTACACTTGTAATTCCAGAGACTTGGAAGGCTGAGGCAGGAGGATTACAAGTTCAAGGCCAGTCTCAGCAACTTAGCAAAACCTTGTCTCAAAAAGGGAGCTGGGGAGCTGGGGATATAGGGATACAGCTCAATGTAAAGTACCCCTGAGTTCAAGTCCCTGTACCTAAATAAATAGACTTTATAATGGGGAAATACTTTATAACAGAGAGCTAACTTCCCTGGGCAGACAGGGAAAGTGTCCCTAAGGAAGTGATGTTGCAGTTTGAAACTGAGGATGCTGGACCCAGCTTACTGAAGCATCAGGAAGAAGTGTCACCGAATGCACAATGATGGGGAGATCTGGGGCCAAAACTGGTCTGTCCTGTCTTGCTCCAGGCCTGCTGCCTCACAGATTTCCCATTGATGTTTTTCTCCCATTATTCAAGTGTCCACAGTAGGTGAGCACTGTGATAGAGTCCTTGCCTAGCCTGCATGAGGCCCTGAGTTCCTAAAACTGCCCCCAAAAAAGTCAATGGTGAAGAATTTTCATCTCATTGCTCTTGCTGCATCTTCTCAGGGGCAAACTGAAACCTAGGAAGTCAGTGTCCACACAGTCAAGACAGGAACCCACATCTCTGTGCCCTCCAATCTCAGATAAAGCTCTTCACAGAGCTGGTGAGATCACAGAAGAAAATCACTACTTTTCCCAGTTTTGCC